CTGTCGCAGAGGTCTTGTCGCTAGGGGAGAGCCCCCAAAGATCTTCCTCCGTGAGATATTGCTTATATCCATGCTTCATCATTGGAGTCATCCACGAGAAAGTAAGACGAGAGAATACAGTTGCATATTCCACTGGACATTCCTCTCCTTCTTCATCTACCAATGCCTCGTACGTGCTTGTCTTCTTGGGCCAAAGCCATTCGATTCCGAATTCGATAGCAGAGAGGCCAAACCCGACAGTGTATGCGACGAAGTATGGAAGGTTGTTGGCGTATAATTGCTGAGAAATCAAGGACCTTAGCTTCACCGCATACGCGATTAGGAGAAGTAACCAATAGAACAGAGCGACACCGTTAGCATTCCTCATACGATCGTGTTCGAGCCATTGAATCGTGAAAATGACGCCGAGCGAGATGAGGGTAGCGACCGTCGTAAGGACGCGAAAATCGCCATGCCATATTCCCGGGAAGTTGATGATCTGGATGGCGAGCTGGACGGCGGCATCGGCGATGATGAGAACTAGGAGTGACTATAGAAGATAGTTAGTAAATATAGAACGCCCTTCTTCTTCTAAAACCTACTTGTTTAAACCAGAAATGCCAATCCTTAGCAACCTCAGCAGGCTTCCGTTTCATTAAAACATACCACACCGCCAAAGCTCCGCCGAGGATACCGAAGATGGCAACGGCAAACACCCATATATCGATGAAACAGGGCGTAAAATCATAGCGAAAGGGACTTAGAGGACCCCATCCTTCTTCGTTACCGCATAACGGCTGTTTGAAGTCTTTTGTCGCGCTGAGATAACCTTTTCCGAGTTCGTGGATAGGCCGGTAGCCCGTGAAGGACCCGGTCAATTGGAGGACCTGTTGAGAGTGATCACCGAACCGCATTACCGCGTTAAGTTGAGTTTCGGATGATAAAGATCATAGTATAATTGAATAGGTATTGACCCCAATTGCGCAATAAGGTACGGTTTTGACGGAAGTTAAAAGGACTGCAAATGGATTAAATGGGATTACTTAAATGTATTACTAAGCACCAAAAATAAAAGTGATGATGTCGGGTTAGAAAACTTGGTGGCGGCCTTTCAACCGGAGTTTGGAAGCTTCTACATTATGTACAATACAAAATAGTAAGCTAGCTGCCTACCAGGCATCTAGGTAGATTAGGTACTTGTTAGGCTACTATCGTATTAACGTTTTCTTTTCCGACCCGAGCCAAGACCGGGGTTCTAGAACTATGATGCACATCCACTACTAAACACTACATGTACCAATCGTACAACTACAGAAAGCTAAACCCATCTCTTTCACTTGGCACAATGTACCATGTAATGCTGGACTACTCTCCCCAAGTATTTGCATCACGAGAAGAAATAATGATGTATATGCACTTAATTGGTACATTGATATATTTTATGAGCTTATGAGCATAGAAGTGATCTTATCTGCGAAGCAATACATCTATGGGTGGGTATCTCTCAGCTTCAAAGTACTAAAAGGTGGAGCACTTAGGTACCTACATGTATTTGATAGTCAAATTCGTAGAGCCTCATGCATAGCGGATAAGGGTGCCAAGACGGAGTTAAGCCCCGCAATCCTTAGCCGACTGTCGGCGCTTTGTTCCAATGCATTGGCTGTCTAGTACCTACACGCTGTACCGCGATGCAAGCTTCCGCCCGCGATAAGCACGATAGCGTTCGTACTACGTAAGTACACACCTCTGGATAAGTCCTTTAGGTAATCTTGACCTTGAACACATTTGGTCCCCCTCCAACACTAGGTACCTCATATTACACCAGACAATATAACGACAGGTTAAAGTTGTAAGGTAGATACATCACCTGTCGTTGTTGAAGATCAAGAATAATACCCACCTGTCCTTCCGATCCAGGCCTGCGTGACTATTCAGGTAGTTGCAGGGCCTCCCCAGGTCCATGCATTCGCCGGGAAGCTCGCCACGCGACGGATCGTCCTCTTCATTTGCGACCCCGTTGAAACGCAAGCCAGCCGGTGCCACTGGCACTCATTCTCGACAACAATCCGAAAGTCGTCCCGATCAGAAGCGTACCAAACTAAACAGCACATCCGACTCAGTCGTTCCGAGAATGAGCAAAGTGGCGGGCAAATGGCCCGAAATCGTCGATCTGACGAAGCCGACTACTGCTTTCCAACCCCATAAGGGGGCAAAGAAGCTTGTTATCAAGAATCTACGGACGACCTCACGAACTAATGACCTTGAAAAATATTACGATGCCACGAGAAAAGAGTTACTTGAAGCTCTTCAAGCCATATTCGAACAGAAGCAACCCCGCCAACCGCTCGAAAGACTTTACCGAGGGGTAGAAGACCTATGTAGACATGGAGCATCTAGAGAACTGTATGAGACGCTACGGGAAAGATGCGAGACCTACTTGAAGAACGATCTTCAAAGATCTATAGTGGCAGAAGCTGGTTCCTCCAACATTGATGTGTTAAAAAGTACCTACAAACACTGGGTCATATGGAACGCTCAATCTGTAGGTACTCCCATATCATTGTGAAAGTCCTTCGAAAGCTGATATGTATATCTAGACCACAATCCGTTCCGTATTCAGCTATCTCGATCGGTCATTTTTACTAAGCAGCAAGGAGTTCCAACAGATTAACGATATGGCCATAACGCTATTTAGGAGAATGGTATTTGTTGCTTCGCAGCCGCAAAGTCCCAGCCCAGGTGCTAAGACGCTCGCCGGGATGTGTGATCTGGTAGACTATGATCGGAGAGCCGATGCCCGGTTCGATCCAGCTCTGCTACGAGATTCTATTTCGATGCTCCATATCCTAAACATCTATGGGAAATCATTCGAGCGACGTTTCCTAGATGCCTCCAAGAAATATTTCGAGGAGTTCGCCAACGAACAAAGCAGCGCATCCCTCAAATTTTATATTTCCAGCTGTGAGAAGCTCATTGCGCGTGAGGATTACCGTTGCAACGCGTACAATTTTGACAGTACTACGAAGAGGCAATTAATGGATGATGCCCATACGATTCTGATTGATAGCTATTCCGAAAAACTTCTCGACGGTGGCAGCATTAGCAAGCTCCTAGATGAGAATGCTCTAGATTCTATGAAGGCTCTATATGACCTCTTGCGGTTATCCGGCATACAGAAGAGGCTAAGACAGCCGTGGGAAGAATACATTAGGGAAGCAGGCGCGGCGATCGTTAACGATACTTCTAGGGGCGACGAGATGGTCATCCGATTACTCGAGTTCAGACGATCTTTAGATCTGATGATTCGGGACGCTTTTAATAGAGACGACGAATTTACTTACAGTATGCGGCAAGCATTTGGTAGCTTCATTAACGATCGGAAAGTTCTATCCGCCTGGAAGACTGGAACTTCCAAGGTTGGTGAGATGATTGCAAAGTATATTGACATGCTACTCAGGGGTGGCTTGAAAACCCTGCCGAAATCACTGCTCTCCGATGCCCAAGACCGTGTCGATGCCGAGCAAAGCGGACTGGCGAGTACCGGTGACGAGGATGCCGAATTAGACAGGCAGTTGGACCAAGCCCTGGAGTTGTTCCGATTTATCGAAGGTAAAGATGTCTTCGAGGCGTTTTATAAACAAGATTTAGCACGACGCCTTCTGATGGGCCGCAGCGCCAGTGCGGATGCGGAGAGGAGCATGCTTGCAAAGTTGAAGAACGAGTGTGGTTCTAACTTCACTCACAACTTGGAGCAAATGTTCAAGGATCAGCAGATCGCACGCGACGAGATGGCCTCGTATAAATCCTGGTGCGAGGGGACCGGACACGGCAAGAGCAGCTTAGATCTTAACGTGAATATCCTGTCTGCCGCAGCATGGCCAACATATCCAGATACTCAGCTTGTTCTACCTGATGATGTTGCGGTACAAGTCGAGCGCTTCGAAGCATACTATACCAACAAACACACAGGAAGGCGTCTTACGTGGAAACATTCACTTGGTCACTGCGTTGTTAAGGCACGTTTCGGGAAGGGGCCAAAGGAATTACTAGTCAGCGCATATCAAGCTGTCGTGTTGACGCTATTCAACCAAATTGAGGATAAGCCGGATGGACTCCTGACCTACCAGCAGATTGCAGAGAATACCGGCCTGAGCGGACCAGATCTTGATCGTACCTTGCAGTCTTTAGCGTGCGGGAAAACCCGCGTTCTCACGAAGCATCCAAAAGGGAGAGATGTAAACCCGACGGATACTTTCACCGTCAACAAGGCTTTCTCAGACCCTAAATACCGCGTGAAGATTAACCAGATTCAACTCAAGGAGACGAAGGAGGAGAACCAAGAGACTCACGAGCGGGTCGCCCAGGATAGACAGTTTGAGTGTCAGGCCGCGATTGTGAGAATCATGAAGAGCCGCAAGACCATGACCCACGCCAACCTCGTCGCGGAGGTAATCAACCAGACCAAGAGCCGAGGCGCTATCGAGCCGGCCGAGATTAAGAAGAATATCGAAAAGTAAGTTGTCCGATGAGCATACATGTTGCTGGATTTTACGCTAACGTCCCAACTAGACTAATCGAGAAGGATTACCTTGAACGAGAAGGAGGCGCATATACGTATTTGGCATAGATGCTACCATCCGGATACAAATTTGATTCGGTGGTTGGCTACTAGACTTGGGTTCCGCTGAGCTGTAATCACGATTTAAAGGTCCTGTCGTAGTGTGCGTTCAGAACGATCGGCCAGACTTGTTGATTACTTTAGGTACCTATGGAGCTTGTTCAGTGGCATTAGACAACTAATGAACCTCGACTTGATACGTTATATCTTGTGAAAATTAGTGCGTACGTGTGTTGGTCTTGATTATGACCGTTACTTGCTTGTTTTCTAAGCCTGCTTGTTAGAAATCCAGGTCTAATTCTTCGGTCTTGAGTTTAGGGGCGTAAATAGTGAGATCGCTTATAGTCTTCAGGCTTGGATTCATTGTACTCCAGGTCATAATATCAATCAGGAAGCCGCGCAGTAGTCTTACTGAATTGCGTACGAACATAAAGTGTCATGTCCTAGGTTAAGTATTTACAGGACTAGGCATATATTCCAATATAGACTACGAGCTTAGGGGCGGTGCACAAGTAAAGAATAGCCGCATGTCATTCAGGTTGCGGCGTATAAATTCCTTCTGTCCGATATCAAGATTTTATAATGTACAGTTCACCCACCCTAGATACCTAATCCAAACCGTTAAACAATATCCAGTAAGCCATCCAACTTACGGCTCTACGGGCAACACCTTATCGTAGAAGCCCGTAGCCCACACCACCAAACGTCCCGATTTCCTATCATCATCCGTGAAGAGTCCATTCCACGAATCCCACACTCGCGTCAGCTCGACTTTATGTCGGCGACCGGGACCCGAAAAGTCAAAGTATTCGTGTAGCGCAGAACCGACGTCCTCGTACCCGACAATATATCTCGCCATGTCTTCACCGGGACCATCTGCAGGCCACAGCTCCTCCAGGAAACCAACCTTGTTCGCGTAGAAGCGACGCGTCTCATCCTTGTATATCTGGCGCTGTAGGGACTTCGGTGATGTATGCAGAGGCGGCTCGCAGGTTAGAGCACGCGCGCGCAGAGCCGGGTAAACAAGATGAGAACGCCACGGTGTAGCGTGGCAAGGTGTCAGGAAGAGCGCGAAGAGCTCTTGCGAGAAGTCATCGTCCACGGTGATGTTTGCTGGTTGCGGGATTGCAAGGTGCTTGGGGTGAATGTTTTCGAATTCGCTACGCAGGTAGTCTACTACCTTGATAGGTGCGGCGGCGTGGAAATAGGAGAGGTAGCCGCCAATGATGATGTTTATAAGTAGACCTCCTAGAAGTAAATGTGCTCGTTTCCACCCCAACGTTGGCGTTGAGCCAGCAGAAGCAGCATTTGTTAATGTGGTGAAAAAGGACGTAATATAGGGTGCAGCCAAAATATGGAACGCCGGAAGAAGAGGCGTGATGAAGCGGACTTCCTTGTGGGAAACAAACGATAAGGCAGATATGTTTGTGAAGACCACGAAGGATAGTGCCTTTAATGCGTTAGAAGTCTCGACTGGCCAATTTGAGTTCTCCGAGTCTAGAGACTTGTATAGGCCTTGTAGGATAAACGGGGTGATCGTAGTACCCAACAACGGTATACCCTGGGAAAGATAGTAATGCCAATCATTCTGCCCATAGAAACTAGCGAGGTCCTGGGCAACGTTGAAATGCAAGAATGCTAAGGGGGGGAATGTCCACTCTCCGTAGTACAGACGGTCAGCTACTAAAGACAATCCAAGAACGAGTGACCTATAACAGTTAGATATCGCGGGAAAACATATGGTACGGTGTCGTTTACGCACCCGCAAAAGACTACCTCCCTATAGATGATAAGGACGTTTCTTAGAGTAAGTGGTGATTTTCCACTGAGTGTAGCTCTGGTCAGTGCGAGGGTGCCAATAGCCACCCATATCAAAACATTGGTTGGCCGCAAGAGAACAGCGAATGCGGCTAATATCAGGGATAATCGGAGACTACATGGTTGCGTTTTAGTATAGAAGCCTTATTCCTCAGAACTGCAAACTTACTTGTTAATCTGACCCCAGGTCTCGAAGAGGGGGATCGATGAATACTTGGACTCGGCATTTCCGTCATCTTCCGTACCTAGAAGCTGCCAGGGCCAATAATAGAGAGCGGCAGCCGTCAAGGTGGTCTCGAAGCAGTTCGAGAACGTCCTCGTCGATGTATACCATTGCCAGGGATTGACCAATGCCATCAACAGCTACGTATGATTATGAGCCACCATTGTAATAGATGATTTTGAAAAGATTGGAGTACTTACAACGGACCAGGCAGCAGCACTCCCACGGCCGTATAGTCTCTCCGCAAGCCTCCACGAATACCAATCGCTCAAGGCAGCAAACCCAGTCTGTAAGACCTTAGGCGCTGCAAGGAGCCATGTAGCTTTGGTTGCTGGAGCCATCCCTGACCCTTCGAAGTTTTGGACGACCCAATATCCAAAGGCAAATATAGTAGGGTGGATAGACGATCGAAGTTGGTGCTTCCATTCCTTTTTCAGATATTAGCTATAGGCTACCAACTAGACCAAATAGGCATCCCAAGAGCAAATAGTACGATTGTTAAGGGAGAGTTCGAAAAGGGGGCCATCCGGAAGCTACGCACCCAGGTCAGCCATGCTCCGCTATCTTCCCCGAATACCAAGTTCCAAGCTGGTTCGAGAGCTTGAAAATATTCGTCTGGCTGAAAGAAAGTACGGACACAGAGCGCGTTTACGAAACGGACGGCGAATATGACGGCCAGAGCATCCCGGGCTTGGACAGCGGCCACAGTAGGTACGTTATTCTTAGCACTCTGTGCAGCGTTTGTCTTTTTCCCTGAGCTCATCTTGAAGTCTCGTGAGTCTCATAGGGCTGTCTCATGTATCCATTTCATATCACTCAATTTCAAGAGACGGTGAGAATTGAGAACTCAAATATAAATACCTAGGTAGGTGAGTTGAGGCTACCTGGCATTTGATGTGATCTAGCAGCAATTGTCAATCCAGATTTGGATTTCTCGGAGCTGTCCGTATCGAGACCGATCGAGACATATGCATGCATTAGATTATGCATTAGATTATGCACCTTGCCTTACCTAAAGACACATGCAATTGAACATGAATTGATCTTATGAACGTAGCTTAGCGCGGACAGCTGACTGCAGCTGCGTTATTTGAGGCTTGCTTCAATAGCCGTATGATCCGATAAGAGCATACTTCATCCGATCTAATAGTAGCCCATTAAATAAATAACTTCACATTCCACATTTCGCCGCCAAGGCAAGGGAAGGCAAGGGATGATGCAGCAGCGTCGGATACCACCCCCACGAACAAAATACTGCGAATTACCATTGGCTGTCTTGAAAATAAACCACTTCTGATTGGCCTCCGATTTGAGATTGTTCGGCCATCCGTGACCTCTCCGGGCTCGGCGGTCACTTTCTTACTGCAGCCGCCTGTGTCATAATGTCGATTGCTGTAGTATACCCGGGGTCTTGCAGTTCTTGTGCGAGTAATGGCTGTTTTTTCTTTGGTTAAACTAAAAAGATTTTTAGTTTTTCTTCACTGACGAAATAGCACCACCCTTCCCTAGAGGCTAGCCCCAAGGATTAACAGTTGAAATAGTAAAAAAAACAAAACAAAACAACATTCCAAGTTCTAGTCCTAGTCTCAGTCCTTGTCCTTGTCAACGCCGCTTTGCTTCGGCAACAGACACCGGAATCTTCACCGCATGTGACCAACTTGAGACTTCAAACCCGGGCAAACTTGTCATCATCACAGCAGCCCGCGACTGGGCCAGCCGCTTCGACTTGCACTTAGGGGTTTAGTGGCTATCAGTCCGCCCTTCCTTATTACGTACCATAACTCTCTTGACTACCAACTCGCCCCCGCCTTACCATTCTTTTTATCTCTTTCCTATCTTTAAGTTCTTGGCTTTTCTTTTTTGACTTTTAGCTTCTTTCTACAAGAACCGAGGATACCCTTCAAGCCAATACTCTATTCCAGCAATAGATTGACTTCTAACCAAGTATTTCTCAAGAGACAAACAAGTATCGTCTTTTCCACTTGCTTCTTTATCACTTTTCTTTTTCGACTTCTTCTACCTTAACAGCCATGTCTCCTCACGCAGATGCTCCGACTACCCGCTTGGGTAATGGCTCGAATGGCTCGAATGGCTCGACGGTCTCGTCTAGATACCATTCGTCTTCGACCAAGGCTGCAATTCAGGCAGAGAATCAATACGCCGCCCACAACTACCATCCGCTCCCTGTCGTCTTCGCTCGCGCGCAGGGTGCCGACGTGTGGGATCCTGAAGGCAAGCACTACATCGATTTCCTCTCAGCATACAGCGCCGTGAATCAAGGCCATTGTCACCCAGAACTAGTGAAAGCTCTCACCGAACAGGCTGGAAGATTGACCTTAAGCTCCAGGGCATTTCACAATGACGTGTTTCCCAAATGGGCGGAAAAGGTGCAAGCGACGTTCGGGTACGACATGGTCCTGCCGATGAACACGGGAGCGGAGGCTGTAGAAACGGCTATCAAGATTGCAAGAAAATGGGCCTATAAAGTCAAGGGTGTTCCCCAGGGCAAGGCATTAGTGTTCGGCGCCGAGGAAAACTTCCATGGCCGCACGGTAGGTTGTCCCGCATGTGGGGTGGCTCTCATTTTTATTTTTATTTTTTATTTTTCTAACGTCATAGGTAGATGACGGCGGTGACTCTATCCACCGATCCAGAATCGAGGGATAACTACGGGCCATATGTGCCAAATATTGGGGCCATATCCCCCTCCACTGGTAAGCCTATTCGGTACAACAACGTGGCCGACTTGGAGGAGTTGCTCGAGACTCATGGGCGTGAGACTGCTGCATTCATTGTCGAGCCTATTCAGGGAGAGGCGGGAGTAGTGGTTCCCGATGAGGATTACTTGAGCAAAGTACATGCGCTTTGCAAGAAACATAATGTGCTCTTGATCTGCGATGAGATTCAGACGGGTATCGGTCGCACAGGTCGGATGCTGTGTTCTGAGTGGGCTGGCATCAAGCCGGACATGATTACTTTGGGGAAAGCTATCTCTGGTGGCATGTATCCCGTCAGTTGCGTCCTCGGTAGTAAAGAGATCATGCTTGTCGTCGAGCCTGGAACTCATGGCTCGACGTACGGCGGAAACCCATTAGGCTGCGCTGTCTCTATACGTGCTCTTGAGCTCATGGAAGAGGAGCAGCTCACCCAAAAGGCCGAGAAGCTTGGTAATATCTTCCGCGACGGTCTAGCGTCGTTTAATTCGCCAGTCATCAAGACTATCCGTGGAAAGGGACTACTAAATGCTGTCGTCATCGACGAATCAAAGGCCAATGGCCATTCAGCTTGGGACTTCTGTCTTCTTCTCAAGGAGAAGGGTGTTCTGGTAAGTCCCGTAGCAGACGCTCATCTTCATTTTTGCAACACAGTGCAAGCACATTGGCTAACTCGGAAATCAGGCTAAACCGACACATGGGAACATCATCCGGTTCGCACCGCCGTTGGTTATTTCGGAAGCGCAGCTTCAAAAGGCCATATCCATTATTGGCGATGCGCTACAGGAGCTACCAAAGATGAAGAAACATGAGGACGTCCACGTCGGACTGGAGAATTAATTTCTTGCGGCGCATTATCACTACCGACACCCCGCCATTCTAGCCCGTATGAAGTAATGGGACGGGATAGAATCGTGCATCTGGATTGGGGACGTAGACTCGATGACCGCTCGTTGGCAAGGCGTACTGCGTCGAATACAAGTGGAAAAAGGGTGGTAAGAGGGTGCGAGACCACCTACCTACATAGTAAACGGCGGACATGATTAGGGTGGTGTCCTACACGAATACTACCCTTACAACCCTGTCAAACCTATAAAATATACCCGGCAAGGTTTGTTTCTTTGCCTATTACACTACTATGTATACGGAGAGTTATCATAGATTCCTACCTCCTCGGTACCTACATAGACTGCTGGAGCACAGGTTTACAGGGATCGCTCGCGACTAAAGGATCGTGTTGCGCTAAAAGGCGGGTTTATCTGTTCCCTGGTTCTAAGTCGGCAATGCGGGGGCCGTATGCGGCAATGTGCATAGCGTGGGTAACGGCGGTTTGGTGGGAAGCATAGAAGTTACTGTTAATGGAACAGCTGATACGAGGCAGACTTGAGCGTTTTCCGTCTTTCGTCTTTGCATCTCCTACTGTATGACCATTTCACCCATTTCACTAGAGTGATTGTGTAGTGACAGCTTGGCCGCAGGCTAGCGGCTAGCCAGCTCAACTAAGTCCTACGTTATGTACATGTGCTTTAGCTTAATGCAGTAGACGTGTCTCACAATTCATGTGGCCCGGGGACTGCAGCTATCCTGCATGATACATTTGAGCTTTGGATGCTTTGGATGCTTTGGATGCCTTCGATTCGATCTTTGGCAACTTGGGAGCTCGGCATTAGTCTACTACATATACCTACATATACCTACATGTATCCTCTATGCATACCAACTTAGTAAGGGGTCTACGCGTTGCCGTTGGATCTACCTACATACACCTAATAGGCATCGTACCTAGCTAGTTAGGATCTGAATCATTATTTGCTTTTGTCCGGCTTACTCACTATATGAGGTAGTGAGGCAGTCAGGTAGTTTCATCGAATTCGTAATGGAATACACACCCTGCAAACTATTTAATATTAAAATTACCTTCCATCGGGTAAGTCAGGAACAAGACCTTAAAGCGAGCGCCAAACTCGAAACTCGAAACTCGAAACCTAAGCAAGCTAAATTCGACCAAGTAGTAAAAAAGAATGGCTTTCGGGTTTCCGATTTGTTCTCGGATCGAAAAGACGTGCATACCGCCCAGGGGGGGTTCCCACAAGAACCGAGTACGTGTAGCTTCGGTCTGCCTAAGACCGACATAAGAGATGCAGAGAGAGATGCAGAGAGAGATGCAGAGAGAGATGCAGAGAGAGTTGCAGAGACAACTGCATAATTAATCTACCTGGAAAGGAGCTCTGGAGCTCTGGAGCTCTAAAGCAACGCGTGTGTAGCATTGCCTAGGCGATAATGAAATCGAGGAGCCATGTCAATCTAAGTAGTCAAGAATAAAGTAGGTGTGTACGAATACCTCTACATACATAGTAAGAATATGTTGGTAAACTCGGTAGTTGGTAGATGATAAAACTTGTGGAAGCATGCACAAACGATTATCTCTGACGAATCGAAACAAAAGCTCAAGACTTAAGACAACTCATCAACCTTAGCGTGAGCAACACGGGCATTGCGGACGTCGCGGGCGTCGCGGGCGTCGCGGGCGTCGCGGAATATACCATGCATTTGCCATCGCTGATAAGAGAAGTAATAATTAGGTCTCTAATGTAATTCCGATACTCGACCAAAGTCGGGTCCCGGTCGCGGAACAGATAGGAAGAAGACGGACTGGGGACGGAATACGGATTGAGTACATCCATACGAGCCGCCTTTTTCAGGGTCCTTATCAATTGATTTATTACCTTATCCAAAGCGTTGCTTTGTCCTACGGTATAAGCGCCAACCTTACAGACAAGCACCAGCAAATTGGAAAACCCTTGTGACCAAGCATTAATGCTTCTCATAAGCCACTATCTGTGACATGCATACATTAGGTAGGTAGTTTGGGTGGTTTTTATTTTTTATTTTTTAGTCCAAGCTCGTGTCCATCACCTCATGATTGTGTTTACAAGCATCATATTCCCCGGCCGAGCCTCATTACGTGACCAGACGGCAGAGTGGTATTTGCAAAGAATGACGGAAAATAAGCTCATAAGCATTTCACCTAGGTTTGGCTGTAAGATACAGAAGCAATCGGGAAATAGGCGGTCGACAATTGATGATGCAATGCGTATAGTTGTTTGCGACTTGGCCTCGGATCTACAAAGCAGTAACAATAAGGAGGTAAAGAGACATGCAAAACGACGCCAAAGCACGCACCGAACACCGGCTTTGAGCTGACTAAACAAATCAACACGAATCAACACGAACCAATACCTAGGCAGTCTCCTTTTTTATACATGTGCCAACAACTATTGTATCCTAGGTTTTTGTTCCTCTTAACATGATCCTCTTAAGAAGATGCAAACAATACTGGAGTGGCAGACCGCCTTCCCCAGATGGGACTCGGAAGAATCAAAGGAAATGGTTAAGTTTGGAACGATGATCAATGACAAGTGGATACTACGACGCGTGCACCAAGAACAATTGAACGGGGAGAGAATGGAGAGGGAGCTGGTCCCACTTATAATCCATGTCTGCCATGTCCAGCATCTAGGTACAATGATACCTACCTCAATACCATAGAGGTACGAATTACCATCGTACTTGCGTTAGGTACCTCCTACATGTGCACTCCTACATGTGCACTTCGTATACCTAGCACCATACCTACATAACACAATGCTTAGCACCTAGCACCTAAGCATTTAGCGTCTTGAATACAAC